TCAGATTTATGAGTTTATCTAAACTTAGAAAAGAGTACGATACAGTGATCTCCCTGTTATTTGGCACCCATGGGGATTGGTAGATGTAGTTTCTGGGTGATATATATGTAAATGTACTTTCCCATTGCTTGAGAGTTACTATTAAAAGTAGGCTTAACTAATTCTATAGTTTATACCATTCAAACCATACTATAAACTTTGTATTGAGCTCGGCACCTGTGGCTCAAGCAGCTAAGGCGCCAGCCACATACACCTGAGCTTTGGGGTTCGAATCCAGCCCAGGCCTGCCAAACAACAGGTTGGCTGCAACCAAAAAATAGCTGGGCATTGTGGCAGGCGCCTGTAGTCCCAGCTACTTGGGAGGCAGAGGCAGGAGAATCGCTTGAGTCCAGGAGTTGGAAGTTGCTGTGAGCTATGATGCTATGGCTTTCTACCCAGGGTGACAACTTGAGGCTCTGTCTAAAAAAAAACAACAAAAACAACCCCCTGTATTGATTTGACATTAACATTAAAATACACAAATTAAGAGCAAATTAGGGCAAATTAAAATAAAGGCAGACTTTATTTACTATAACAGTTTTACTGTTATAAAACAGCTTTGTAAAGGCAATGTACAATATTAGTTAAATGGCGGGAAATATACTTTTCAATTTCACTACCACATTTTTTTAACTTCAAGTAACATACATTAATATCTAACACTGTTAGAACTCATGAGAGCCACTGGAGTGATTGATGCATGGAGCACGTGTTGGGCGCTGCACAAGTTTAAACTCTGAGGACTTTTTTTGTTCTTGGGATGGGGAGTCAAGTGCAGGTTGCTTGAGAGTGCTAGTTGCTTGAGTTCTGGCTAATGGGAAAGAAACTCCCTCAAACCCTTCTAGAGTTAAATTGCTAACCTATTATCCTGTCACCTTCTAATATGTTGGTATATATCCTACAAACAAGAATATGCTCTTGAATAACCATATAGCTACTGTTTTTTAAAAATGTTTTGTTTCTTGTAGACGTGAGGTCTTTCTGTGTTGCCCAGGCTGGTCTCATACTCCTGGCCTCAAGTGATCCTCCAACCTTGGCCTCCCAAAGTTCTGGGATTACAGGTGTGAACCACTTTACCCAGCCACTACTATTAAAGTCAGACAATTAACAGTGATACATGACTATTTCATTAATGTTTAGGCTCCCTTTAAGATTCACCAAGTGGGCTGGGCACCTGTGGCTCAGGTGGATAAGGCGCCAGCCATGTACACCCAAGGTGGCGGGTTCGAATCCAGCCCAGCCCGCCAAACAATGACAGCTGCAACCAAAAAATAGCCAGGCGTTGTGGCGGGCGCCTTTAGTCCCAGCTACTTGGGAGG